TAAATTAAAACGCCAGTGCCAGTAGTGTTTAATGAGTGCGTCATTGAGTCATTCATTCAAACGATTCCTTCAAACGGCAGATTCATCAGATGTTTATGCATGGGCTAATGAAACTTTGATTCAACCAATTCGTTCAAAACACGGAATCAATCAGCAATGAATCGGATGGTTGCTGTGAGATGCGCTGCGTTTCCGCCTAAAATATAAGGGATATATTATTGTATTTGCTTATTGAACTGTTTATAGAACTATTAAACAGTCGTAATGGTGAAAACATTGTGTTAAATATAAAAACTTTCCATTTTGAATTTTTACCTCAGGATGCTGATGTTTTGATTTCTCCTGGAGAGGCTGCGTGAGCCTCGCCTCAGCAATAGATGCATAATATACAGTAGCTATATCCACCATTCTCCACTTACTCTAAATGTAATAAAATCAGAATAATACTTATTTTTGGTTACTGATGTTTTAATCGTGTTGCTTGTCTGGTGTTAATGAAGCGTTAATGACGAGTCTATGTCCCCGGACGGCCCCGGCCCAATTTAAACCCTGTATATACATAAAAATGTTTGCCCATAAGGTACAGCTGTAAGAAAATAGAATTTTTTTTTCTGATTTTAATGTCAATTTTTGTTCTGGGATAGTTTTCGAACTGCATGACAAAAAATCGTAATGGTCCTAAAAAAGACTTCATGTTTTTGTTTTGTTTTTGTTTTTTTGCACAAATATATTTACTTTGACTTTTGGAAATTATCTTTTGGTAAGATTTACTGGCAGTGTTTACAGATATTAAGAAAGTGAGAAGCTTTTTATGATTGTATATGATCAGTGAGCTCTGTTTTATAACTGTATCTCCCCCAGCAGTCATTTCTAGTTACCCAGAGATCCTCATGAGTCAAATTAGGCTCATTGTAATGATGTACAGGTTGAGGATGGCTGTGTTTTATGGAGGGAAACATTCTCATGGGGCGGCGTGTGCGTCCATACGATCTTTCATATGAACATATGACATGAAATGCATTCGCTGTAACTCTTCAGATAGTGTGTCACTGACAGCGGGCTGTGTGTCATTTCCAGCAAACACTATCGATCAAGGCCAGAAATCAACTTATAATGAATACTAAATCAAATGTGAAACCTGCATCGAGCTCCTGAAGATTAATACAAGCAGATGCCTCAATCTGCCAAATCAAGCTGGAGAACAAGATCATCAGGTGCATGTCAATAGAGACACAGCAAATACTGAGACAATTCATATTTGTTTTTCATTGTAACCTTGTAAAGCTTGACATATGAAATAATAATCCAAAAACCTTTCTTTTTTTAAATGGAACAGTTCATTGAACCATCTTTAAAATTTTGCATATTTTACTTTTATGGCTCATTTAATCTGACATAGTGAGAATATGGAGTAAAAAACAGCTCAGTTTTATTCAGAGGTCCAAACTGAGCAAAAATACGCAATATGGTGCAGATGCTGATATTTATATGGACAAAAAGAGTTTAAATTCTGCTGCTTGTAATGTAAATCAATGAGATCTTTATAACAGTACAGCAGATACTAGTCATCACTCTATATCTCCAATAATATGTCTTGAAATGATCCAAACATATAATGTAATGCAATCCAATGCTGATTGAGAGCTGAAGAAATAAACACTCCTCAGAAGATGTGAGATGTTCTGGAGGCTTGTGAAGATCATTCCTCCGCTGAGGAACAGTGAAAGTAAAGCTTCTGGAAACAAACGCTCCTCAAAACATCCTGATGATCAGATTTGAGACTCTAAAACATGATTGATGGAGAATCAAGTAAAGCTGAGCTGCTTCAGTCCAGTAAGTGTTCATCTGGAGATATTACTACAGTTATTCTCACGTTTACTTAATTAAAATCGGTAAAGATTTGACAGCAGAAAGACACGAGAAGCACCAGCTGAAGGTGTGTACAATTACACTAAAAGAGCAGACGACAGAAGACATGCAGTAGATTGAGTGCAACATGTTTAACAGCAAAGTTTTTGTCATGTTGATCATTTAGATACCTATCAAATATGATACAGTAGCTTTAGGGATAACTTTTTACTCAACTGCAAAGCTGATCATATAACTTTATAGCAAACAACAGACCTAAGATCTTGATGTTCATGCACATGTTATTTGTCAACTACATCATGGTTTTTTTCTTCCCATGGGCCATTGAGCCGCCTGTGGCTCAGTGTCTGAATAAAAGCACTTTCATCAGGCTCAATGTGTTCAGTTCACTGCCGTTGCTGTGGAATGGAATGCAGCGTGTGGTTTTCGCTCGAGATGTTTGGTACAAAAGCTGGGAGCGCATGGTTTTGTGCTCAGTCGCCGCTGTCCGTGTACGTTTGAAGTGAGACTCGCATCTCGTTACAGAGGGTGTGAGGCAACATGCTGTGAAGAATATTAACATTGCTCAACGGTTGCTCTTCTGAGCTTAATGGAGTTCTCGTGTGTCGGTTAAGCTTGTTTCAGATGTTTCTCCTAAATTTTCTTAGAAGAAATCAGTGAACAGTTGACATACATTCTATAAAATGAATATGGAAGTGGCTTATATCATTTGGTCTTTGGAGAATTTGATGAGAAATGTTTGAGTTCGTAATGAAATCTCTTGACTTTTGATTGCAGATCTTTTGCAGGTCTTTTTCTCAGGAGAAACATCTTAGAAGCAGGAAACTTAACCAAACATTAACATTAGATCTACATTTAATTGCTATCCAGGAGAAACCATTGAGATATTTTGTGATCTATCACTTTATATTGCAGATTATATTATCTTCATAAATCTTAGGCTAGTCTGAGATAGTAGTTATGTTTCCATCACCCTGTTTTTATGCCCATTCTGAAGAATCGCATTAGAAAAAAAGTAACACTTTTTTTTTTTTAAATCCCTTAATTCACAAAAAGTTTTGCCGCTTGCTTGAAGTGGTTTTTGACTATGCGAATAATGGGAAATGTAAACGCATCTACCTAATAAATTCCTCCATGCACATCAAAAAAGTCATGTGACTTTGCGCGATGGGATGGCATAACTGGACTAACCAATGGAATGACCACATTTATTGTGTTTCGTCTGCTCGCTCTGAGGTGCATGTTTTATTATGCATAAAAATTATTATATTCAGTGGCTTCTCTTACTTTTCTTAGTGATATTCAGTGCCAGTTTATCAGGAAGTGACAATTTTCTTCTCTTTGACTCGTTGAATGGAAACAGTGCTTTATTCGCAAATGTTTTATGCAATATTCCAGTTTTGCGCATACGTTAAATTCGCAACTTTGGAAGGAAACCTAGCTATTGAGGTCTCTACTGAAACTCAAGAGGAAACACACGTGAGATTGCTGAGTTTTTTGTTTAGTTTTTTTCAGAAGAAAGATCTGAGAGGCAGGATACAAAAATCCATTAGATCTCCATTTAATTGCTATCCTGGAGAAACCATTAAGATAATCTTGAGATCTATGACTTAATATTGCAGACTTTGCGATTTTGGTAAATCTTAGTTCTGCTGGAGATATTGAGATCTCATCTGAAACTCTAGAGGAGACATACTGTATGTGAGGTCATTGGAGTCTTTATTTTTAACACTATTTTGATAGTCCACTTTAGACATTCTTACAACTGTAAGTAACTTTGCAACTACATGTCAACTAGCAGTCATTAGAGTATTAATAGACTGTCTGCTTAATATCTTCTAACACTTTACTTTGATGGGCCCACAACATACTGAGTATAAGAATCTTTGCAAGTGTATGTCAACTTATTCTACTAACCCTAAACCTAACCTAACAGTCTATTCTGAGAGTTAGTAGCAGGGCCGTTTCTAGCCAATTTGACGCCCTATTTGAAATCCCTATTACTTTTTTGTCTTTATCTGTTTTTTGTTCAATTTTTTTGTTGTTGTTTCTTGAAACATTGATTTAAAGTGTCAGTTATTGCATTATTATTTCAGTCAAACCTATAAAACCCCTTTGTTACCCCAAACTACATATAAAAGCTTTATCAGTGGCATAAAAGTAACCAATGCAGCTACTTAATCATTTGCTACTCGTTAACGCGTTAATGTCCCCTTTAAATAACGTGACGCTCTGTCCTCTATGACGCTGCTCCCATTAAGCGCTGTTGGATGTGAATGAATTGATTCAGCATTTCGACACCTCTGTAAGGATGCATTTAACTCGACAAAGCGGTCTAATAAAGGATGTATTGATCTCGTGAATTAGCTAATTTTACTATACAAATATTTTTTAATTTGGATGTTAAAGTTTATATGGGAATATTACATGACACGCTGATCCTTTAACAATGCATTGGCGCAAAAAACGCACACCTTTTGGACAAATCTGCCACAAATATTTGGACAAATGTGCCACAAATACTGCTTAAACAAAATACTGATTTTGTGCACTTTATTTACTGTACCAATATTTTAAATTGGCCTTTGAATTTAGCTTTATTGCATGGCAAAAAAAAGTGTTACCTTGCCAAAGCACTGACAGAGCCCACTGATCTAATGGCGTTGTTGAGCGCTCCAAATGCAAACTTTGCATGCAACAATCAGGCAGCAATTGACAGCACTCTGATCTAGTGGCATACAGGCATCGTCAGATTGACAGTACTCTAGCCCAATAATGTTGGGGGATCCAGTGGGGGCGGCAGTCATATTTCAGAGTGACCGTGCCACTCTTTATCACAACCCTGCTAAAAGTGCCAGTACGTGCGCTCATTGGCACCCCTTCAGCTGGTGGCGCCCTAGGCGACCGCCTAGCTCGCCTATGCCTAGAAACGGCCCTGGTTAGTAGACATGTAGTTGCAAATTAATGAGAATTAGTTGACATGTAGTTGCAAAGTTACTTATAGTTAGTAGAATGTCTAAAGTGGACTATCAAAATAAAGTGTAACCGAGACTTTTTTCTCAGAAGAAACATTTCAGAAGTAGGAGAGTTAAACAAACATTTCTATTAGATCTCCATTTAATTGCTATCCAGGACAAACCATTGAGATCATTTGGAGATCAATGACTTTTTATTGCAGATTATTCTATCTTGGTGAATCTGTGGCCAGTTTGAGATATCGAGACCTTTTCAACGTGAACATTTCCATTAGATCTCCATTTAATTGTTATCCAGGAGAAACGATTGAGATCATTTGGAGAACTGTGACTTTTGATTGCAGACTTTGGTATCTTTGTGCATCTGAGCCCAGTTGAAAATATTCTCTCTCTCTCTCTCTCTCTCTCTCTCTCTTCTGAAACTCTAGAGTACACATGTGTGAGATTACAGGTTTTTTTTCTCAGGAGAAACATCTAAGAAGCACAAAAGTCTCCATTCTCTCTCCTCATTGCAGTTTTGGAGGAGATATCGAGATCTCATTGAAAGCTCAAATGCACCTCTTCTTGTTTGCAGAATCAGGTGAAGTGGATCCAGAGATCGCCCGTCTGAATGCTCTGGGCTTCACCGGCTGTTTGTCTGTGGTCCAGTTTAACTCCATCTCTCCGCTGAAGGCGGCTCTGCTGTATCCAGACACCAGTCCTGTCATAGTCACTGGACCGCTGAGCGAATCCAGCTGTGGCTCGTCTTTACCGACAAACCCCTACGCCGCTGAGACCACTCATTCTCTCACAGGTAACGCCATCAAGACTGATACCCACTTCCTTCACTGGTTTAGTTATAGAGTGCAACAGTCGGGTTCTTGAAGTAAAAATCCCATTCCTTTTCTCCACAGGTGAACTGATTTTTACCAATAACTCATAAACCTTTAAAGACAGATCTATTGTGAGCTACCAGGTTGTTAAACAATGGTATATGCTTTTGTTGAAGCTCTCAGTTCACATTATTTCAACTTTTTTACTCAACTGATAATCCTCGTATCAGAACCTAAATCTATCAAGAGCCTTAGCCAATGGATTTAGTGAATTTACAATAAATATCAACCCGACTTATATAGTTTAATAAGTACATAAAGACAAGCAAACTCTGATTTAAGCTTTGATGCAAACACTAATTTAAGTGTCAGACTGAAATTCATAACTTTGCACATACGGATATGAGCAGACTCCTAAATGATTGTGAATATGAGATATTAGGTTTTAAATGAGTGATTTGTCATTGCAAAAAATTATTTTCTTACTTAGTATTTTTGTCTTGTTTTCCAGTACAAATATCTAAACATTCTTAAATCAAGAAACATTTGCTTGAGAAGCAAAATGACTTAAGATAATACATCAAAATTAAAGTGAGTTTTTTTTTTCTTAAAATGAGAAGAAATATCTGAGAAAAGGCAAGAAAAATAATCTTGTTTTCCCTTTGAATTAAAATAATTTTTCTGACCCATGGACCATGAATGGCTATAAATTGATACATATAAAAAGATATAGTAATGAAGACAAAAACAGCATTACATCACTTTTTTGAAACAATTAGTTTGTTGTTAATGCATGGGTATATATACAGTATATATATATATATATATATATTAGTGCTGTCAAACGATTAATCGCATCCAAATGTTTTTGTTTACATAATAAATGCGAGTGTGCTGTGTATATTTATTATGTATATATAACGACACACACATACAGCATATATTTTGAAAATATTTACATGTATTTACATGTATATAATTATTTCATATATAAACATATTTAATATATAAACGTAACATATTTTTTAAAAATATATACATGCATGTGTGTGTTATATATACATAATAAATATACACAGTACACACACATATATTATGTAAACAAAAACTTTTATTTTGGATGCGATTAATAGCGATTAATGGTTGACAGCACTAATATATATATATATATATATAATTCAAATTATTGTAATATACTATTTTGTATTAAATGTATTTTATTGATTTTTAATATATAAGGAAATATATTTTCTTTGCATAATGGGAGCAACAGTTCTTAAGTAGTTAAAGTTATCTAGTTGCAAACAAAAACATTTATAGGCATCTGTATCTTCTTCAGACTTTGTTTTCCAAACTTCTCTCTAGTTTGTTGAGTCTTTCTGGCCAGATTCCTCCTCAAAGTCGAATTTCAGCAAACTTTCATCGCCGGCTCACTGAATCCTCCGCAGTGCTAATTAAATTAGAGCAATAATGATGGTAATGGCTGATCACTGTATTAATCTGCGTGAGAAAGACCTTCATTTGCATAATCATTTCTCGATTGCCTCTGCGTTTGTGCCGCATCGCTCCTTCATCGAGCGGCTGTGGCGTATTCAATGAGCTGCGACCTGCGCTTCAGTCCTGCTGATGATCTGTCTGTCTGTCTGTCTCTCTTCTCTGCTGTAGATCATGTGGGTACAGTAGGTACGGGTGAGCCCATAGTCAATGCTATCAACAGTGACTCGGCTTTGATCGGAGGTAAATGGATGTTGTAGTGCATTACAGAAATATTCCATTTCTCATCTTTTCTCATTTCATTCATTATTATTTGCTGCTTTCAGCTCATATTTACTTTGTCTTGCTCTAGGAATCCCTTAAATTAACAATTCGCCCAAATCATCATTTAGTTCTTCCCAAACTTTTTGACTTTATGTACTTGGAAGACAAAATAAGATGTTTAACCCATTTTTAATTCAGTGAGCTCCAAAAAATGCAGCATAAGAGTGAAAAAAATTGTGAAATTTAGAGTTTTAAAAAAAATGTCATTTTAGCATTTCAAGTTTTAGAAAATGGAACTTAAATTGACAAAAAACTAAAAATCATAAACCGATATAATGTCAAAATACTAACCTGCTGAGAGATTAAAATCTGATTCATACCTTTATAATATACTGACAGCTGCCATAAAAACGGGTGGTAAAGACACAATTACAAAACACCGTCATGATAACAAATACAACACTAAAATAATGCATAAACATTATTATTTTATTTAACAACATACGATGTAACATAAAATCTTAATCTCATCAAATTTGAAGAGTCACACATAATTCTGGGAATGTAAATTGACTTTGAATTATAATATGACTTATTCTTTTTCACTTCCAAAAACTGTACATTTGACAGTATTTTTCTGTAAAATGATATTAAAAATGCCAAAATGAATGTTAAAATGATATATTCACTACATATATTGTAAGGAACCAATTAACAGGTTTTTTTACAGTCTTTTTACCATCAAAATTATTATATTTTTTTGCATTGTAGTCCATAAGTCTTCTAAGGTCATACACTTAATTAAATAATTTATAATAATTAATAATACATTTTTAAAAAACAATAAATTACTGGAGTACGTTTTATAAAAAAAGGCTATTTGAGTCTTTATTTCAGTCTAATTTCGGTCTAATTCAGTGTGTTACTTGAATTTCTGTCATTATTTGTGAAATTTGCTAGCAAGTTATGAATGAAAATTGTTTCCACAACAAATTTATTTCAGTATGTGATGCTTTTTGAAAGTTTACGCACCTGTTTACTGTCACTGTATGGAAAAGAGCAGCGTTAACATTGTGCTAAACATCTCTTTTTGCGTTCACCAGGAAGAAAGACAGTCATACAGGTTTGGAACAACATTTCAAGAGTCAATTTACAATTTGTGAGCTAAAACTTGCACTTAATGACAAAGACGTCACATGATCTGTCATGCAAAGTGAACTTCAGTCTCCGTGTGCATTTAAAAGACTCCATAAAACTAATCAGAAAACCTCCAACCCGGCAGCGGCCCTCAATAATGACTGATTAACGGCTGCGTTCACATTGACCGAATATAAAGAGTTCTCCAAAGCTATCGGTAAATAGGCCCCCAAAACTAATTAAACATTTAAAGAAATTATTTGCTGATTAAGGGGCTTCTGCTACAATCCCAAACACACTTTGTCCTTTTCACAGCCACCGTAATGTGGCATTAAATTGAGTTGAGATTTATTTTGGCGCTTCAGTTAGACATTTCTTTCACCCTTTATAATTAAATGTGCCATGCTTAACCGGCCACAAAAGAGAGAAACATTTTAGAGGCTCTGACAGCGAGTAGAATTGAGACGAAGCAGCATTCACAACACGTCTGATGGCGTAACGAGACCATCAGAGCGCCAGACGCCAGGTTTTTTTGCCAACTTTCTGGCCTTTATTGATAGTCTGTATTTAACAGCTTTAAAAAAAATGGCGCTAATGGCATCTAAATTAGGATTGATTGTGGCGTTATGTCGGCGTGAGGTCTGGATTCACCCTCCAGAAACGCCTCTGACCGTCCGGCTGCTGAACTTTAAGACATTTTGTGGCACTAAAAGCCACGTCTGCAAGTCACCCGCCACTAAATGACCAATTTAGGTGATTACTCTTGAATGCTTTATACCACGTAGACTATTGTATACCATTCAATGAAACCTCGTTAAGTTCAAGATTTTATTTATTTTATTTATTTATTGGCAGTATTTATCCAAAGTTGAATTATCACTGTACACCAAAGATATGGAATTCTTTCAGTTTTCATGAAGATAGATAGATAGATAGATGATAGATAGATAGATAGATACATTTAAAAATATTAATTTGTAATATTTTTACCTATGTTTACCATATTCATATTAATATTAAATATTAAAAAATTATATTAATTAGTATTTTGACATTATTAATTGCTTTTTTATTTTTATTTTTTTTGCAGTGGCTAAAACTAATTTTGAATTATCACCATAAACCATATGGAATTTCTTCAGTTTTGATTACAAATTGTACATATTTTTATTTTAATTTCATTTACTTGTATTCATATATATTAATTTATAATATATAGTACACGTATTAGTATTGGTATTAATATAAATTTATATGAATATTAAATCTTATAAATATTTCTAAAATATTTCTAAATATATTTGCATATAAATATATTTTATTTTTAGATTTTATTTACATTAATTTCCATCAAATTACATCAAATGTTGAATTATCATCAAGGACTATAAATATGGAATTTCTTCGGTTTTCATTACAAATTATTATTTGATTTTTCGTTTAATTAATGTATATTCATTAAATTTGTTATATATTTTTATTTACATGTATATATATATATCTGTATTCATATTAATACAATAATTCATAAATAATATTAATTTTATTATATAATATATAATAAATAATTAATAATTAATTATAATATTATATTATATTATATAAATATAATAATTAATATTAAATATAAATACATTATATTAATTTGTGTTTATTCTCAATATTATTTATTTTAATAACCCCCAATTGTTTTCCTTTTTTTTTTTTTACAGTGCTTACATCCAATGTTGAATTATAATCATAACTTCAGAGCGCCAGACGCCAGGTTTTTTTGCCAACTTTCTGGCCTTTATTGATAGTCTGTATTTAACAGCTTTAAAAAAAATGGCGCTAATGGCATCTAAATTAGGATTGATTGTGGCGTTATGTCGGCGTGAGGTCTGGATTCACCCTCCAGAAACGCCTCTGACCGTCCGGCTGCTGAACTTTAAGACATTTTGTGGCACTAAAAGCCACGTCTGCAAGTCACCCGCCACTAAATGACCAATTTAGGTGATTACTCTTGAATGCTTTATACCACGTAGACTATTGTATACCATTCAATGAAACCTCGTTAAGTTCAAGATTTTATTTATTTTATTTATTTATTGGCAGTATTTATCCAAAGTTGAATTATCACTGTACACCAAAGATATGGAATTCTTTCAGTTTTCATGAAGATAGATAGATAGATAGATGATAGATAGATAGATAGATACATTTAAAAATATTAATTTGTAATATTTTTACCTATGTTTACCATATTCATATTAATATTAAATATTAAAAAATTATATTAATTAGTATTTTGACATTATTAATTGCTTTTTTATTTTTATTTTTTTTGCAGTGGCTAAAACTAATTTTGAATTATCACCATAAACCATATGGAATTTCTTCAGTTTTGATTACAAATTGTACATATTTTTATTTTAATTTCATTTACTTGTATTCATATATATTAATTTATAATATATAGTACACGTATTAGTATTGGTATTAATATAAATTTATATGAATATTAAATCTTATAAATATTTCTAAAATATTTCTAAATATATTTGCATATAAATATATTTTATTTTTAGATTTTATTTACATTAATTTCCATCAAATTACATCAAATGTTGAATTATCATCAAGGACTATAAATATGGAATTTCTTCGGTTTTCATTACAAATTATTATTTGATTTTTCGTTTAATTAATGTATATTCATTAAATTTGTTATATATTTTTATTTACATGTATATATATATATCTGTATTCATATTAATACAATAATTCATAAATAATATTAATTTTATTATATAATATATAATAAATAATTAATAATTAATTATAATATTATATTATATTATATAAATATAATAATTAATATTAAATATAAATACATTATATTAATTTGTGTTTATTCTCAATATTATTTATTTTAATAACCCCCCTTTTTTTTCTTTTTTTACGGTGCTTACATCCAGTATTGAATTATCATCATAACTAGAGATATGAATATGAGTGAATACATATTAGTTAATACATATTATAATATAATACATATTAGTTTGTTTTTTTCTAAAACATTATTTTTTTTTTTTTTCTTTTAAAATTTAGTCAACCATGTCCATTTTGCATGTTTCATTATCCAAAGATGTAGAAATGTAATTGAGTCATAGCGTCTAGCTCTGCTGTCCAGAGTCTCCTCACTATTTCGCGTGTCGCTGTGCTGTTTTTCAGGTGTCATTGCCGTCGTGATATTTGTGAGTCTGGCCGCGCTGGCTGTGATGGCGCGATTCCTGTACCGGCGGAAAGAAACGTTTCAGCCCCAAGAGCCCAAAGCAGACAAAAACGACGACAGTCCCGAAATGCCCTTTAACACGGATCCGAACTCACAGAGCATTATCAGTGATAACCAAAAAGAGTATTTCATATGACGCTCTTTCACCTCGTATCGGACTAATCCAGTTAAACCGACGGACTGAAATGCCTTGTCGAGTCTAGGGACATTAACATTCACGGTGCATTATGGGAAACCGACCGAGAGACTGGGGCTGCTGAAGTGGAGCGACGCGTCCCTCCGTTTTTGCCCTTTTTGTACATAAAACAGTTATTGTCCAGAGATCTGGCACAATAGTACGGTTTCTAAGGTGTGTATAATGACATTCATTGGTTGTAAATATTCTTTTGAAATGAAACTTTGTAA